ACTACAGAAGTCCACTCACCAAACAACCTGTCAAAGAGAGCGCCAGAGAGAGAGGTTTGTTTGAGAGAGGATCTGCCAGAGGGATGGGAGTCAATCTTAAACTCAAAAACATTGCATTTGTCTTTTTATTTAAGTGTTTCCCAATAAATGTATAAATCATAATGGCATTTATTTCAGTATGACACTTCAAATCTTATTATCCCGTCAATGTCTCACTGAAGTCATCCATTAATAGGCTTTTTCACCCCATGGAGTTACCAATTTACCACTTTTGAAACAGACACGACCAGGGTTACTGAAACACTTCAAATAGCATGAAAAGCATGTTTTGAATAGATTTGGACAAGTCTACAAATTGCCATTGCCAGTGACATTTCACAAAAGAAAAAAAGGATTGCTTTAATTTTAAATGTTTGGCACTTAAAGTAGGAAAAATTCTTTGTTTTAATGCTACATCTAGGTACTAGATTTGGTGTATTTTCGATAGCATAAATTCACAAAGGCAGTTATAATATACATGACTGACGCATGGAGATACCAATTTAGAAATAGACACGAACAGGATTAGATTTCGAAAAGCTTGGGAACTGTCTAAGCCGAATGAATGGAAATCTTAAATGAATTATAACTGCTTAAGTAAGCATTTGCTAAAAAAATAAAATAAAAAAAAAGTGGAATGTTTAAATACAGAATGCAAAGCTCTGCCCCCGCAAAGCAATGCCAAAAAAGGAGTCCCTATACAGACTGACATGATATCTATTACATAAGAATAAGTTGTTGTACTGTTGTATGGAATATGGTATGAACGTAGTCCTGTATCGCTCACTATTTGAGTAAGGAATAAAAGGATGTGTAAACGCAATGTGCAGTAGGCTACATGTATCATTAAATCTGATCCCACTTCAAAAGACCTCAATAGGCTTCAGCTACACAAAAGAGTTATTTTTAGTACAAAGCACCTGCATCTTGGACCCCATTATGTTCAATAATGGAATACACCTTCCCTCCCCGAGCTCTGATCTGCAGATATATAACTGTATGTTGACTTGTGCATCCATAGTTGGTTTGACACTGCTGTTCTCTGGCTCTCCCTGACTCACCTCGCACCAGAGCCAAGAGGAGTCGGACCACCAACAAGTGACTCACAGCCTCATGTCCATGTTTGTGTGCATATGAGCCTTTAATTTTACCCAAATACTCCTCTATTTTCTTACATCGCACCTCACCCACGCTAAACATGTTCTCGGACAAAAGGGGGCAGTATTTTAGCTCATAAAAACACAACCTTGTCACAATGTACAGTCAGTGCCAGGCAAAAGGACACAGCTAAAATTACACAAAGTCCAGACTGAATTCATTGAAAATACTGCAGTTTGTTTCCTGTTTTGGATATGTGGACATTTGCTCAAATTTGGGATGCTCTGTGTTGTCTTTTAGTTTGGCATTTTCCTTCTGAGGGCTCTAAGCCAAAGCTGGGTGCTACTTTTGGCTCCTATATAGGATCAAAATCTTGTGGATCCATTCAGGTCAAAAAGCCATTTAAAAGACTTATATGACAGAGGCCAATGTGTGAACAATACAATCACAGGATGACATGGCCAAGGACTGGAATATATACACTAAATAATAATAATAAATACAATGCAGTACTACAATATTAATGATTAAAAAGCTGATCATGACACTAAATATGTTTTTGTGCACAAAGCTGTGCTGATTTTTGTATTGTTGTAAAGAAAAAGATTTAGTTCTTTCAAAAAATAAGATGCAATTTCAAGCACTCATATCAAGGAACCGTTCAAAAAAGCGGACTTGTTCACTATCGCCACATCTCTAGTAACCAGTTACATTTACTTGAGTTACTTTTGGGAAAAAAAAGTACTTCCAGACAACGTACTTTTACTTGAGTAATATATTTATAGTGTATGTTTTGGGTCTTCTCACTGTGAGTAAGTCTGCTAGTGTAACACTAAATGTTAACAATATGAAATGATTTGAACATTTGTGTTTCATGCCCTCCTCCTATAGATGTGATTTAGTTTTTCAATAGTTTATAGTTGAAAATACCAGATTTTGTGGATTGTCCTAAATGACTTCAAATTATAGTTATAGTTACAGTTATTTAGTACTCAATTACTGTGCAATTTCTTGGATCACTACTTTGTACTTTTACTTGAGTAATATTATTTTTGAAGTAATGTTAGTCTTACTTGAGTGCAAATTTTGGCTACTTCACCAGATGTCTCATGGTCATAAATATCAAATGGCTGTCTAATTGGAAAGTTGCTGGTACAATCTCAGCTCTGACCAGTGCATATCAACATTGTGCTTGAGAGGCAAGACGCAAGAAATCACCCTCACCTTGTTAAGAAAGTAGATGCCGACTGAATAGTAGGTGAGTTGTTGGTGGTTGGAGAGGCCAGTGGTGCAGACTGGCAGCCATATGTTCAGCCAGTCATGCCAGGGCAGCTGTAGCTAAAGAAGTGGTACCAGCTCGTGAAAGAATATTGTAAGGTAAAACATATCCACAAAGGTGCTATAAGACAATAAAAAATAGTTTTGTTGGTATTATTATTAAGTTTTCTTGTGCCATCTGTTTATCTTGTTATGAAAGGTATATGTTCATGGTATCATATTCTCAAAAAGTCATGCAGTAATAGAGAAAGGGTACTCTGTATTTCACTCCATATATTCAGCTTTTGACTATTATTTATGTATTGAAGTCAGTCTCTTTACATTGTCGCTTTGTTTCTTGCTGTGACTGACTGATTGACAGGTGTCTATACTAACTCCGAAAGGGTCACGTCAACTTGTCACTGTTAACATCATCATAATCCCTTTAATCTCTTGTCTTCTCAGGACATATAAGAACAATGAGCAGATGTCTCCACAGATAGAGTCCAGTAGTTTGAAATGACTATATTTATATCTTGATGTTTGAGTAGTTTTTGGGTACAGTGGCCAAAGGATGCAGCATTTGCTTAATATTCATATTTTAAAGGTAGTCTATGTAACTTTTCAGGGGGATGGTCCACTAGCTGTTATGTTATTGCTTTGCCTGAAATGTTACACTGTTTGGCATTAAAGGTCCAATATTATGCTTTTTTTCACAGCTTTTTAACATACAAGTCCTGCATTTTTAGGCTGAGATTTTCTCTCAAACTGAAAACTCCCTGTTCCACCTTGTGATGCCATATGGTAATACAGGAAGCACCCCACTGTGTTTTTCAACTCCATACACCTTAATTAGAATCATTTTGATCATTTCAGCCCTGGAATTGCCAATCTTTACCTAACTAAAGGTAAAAGGTATCAGCTAAATTGAAAAGGGTTACTCAGACATGTGTGAATAAAACAAAACACAACTCTAGGTGTGTTTTTGATGAGGTAAAACATTCTGAAAAGGCTTAAAGCTCACAAGAGTCAGTTTTGTATAATATAAGACCTTTCAAGTAGCTATGTTCATGGAGACAAGCAGTTGGCACCACCAAGCCAAGTAACAGGTTAGATCAGTGGTGAGGCAAGCCCGCTCAGTGCATTTTATTTCCCAATGAATGCATCCATCCATGCATTTTCTTCCGTTTTATCCTGGGCCGGGTCGTGGAGGCAGCAGTCTGAGCATGGAGACCCAGTAAAACCCAATCAAAATTTAATATGGATAATTTAATATGTAAGCTATATGTAATATTGCATTAAAAGCAATAGCAAAAGGTAGTGGACCCCCCACCCCCCCACCAGAAAAGTTACATAGTGTCCCTTTAAATGTTTTTGCAAATTTATTCAAATAATATTTTCCAAGTTTGAAAGAAAAACAAAATACTAAACTGTCTAAATTGTGAAAATGGAAGAATAAACTCTACACTACAATGTTATCCATTCTTTTTAAAGTTTGATATTTTCATTTCCACACCAGTTTCAAAACGAATTTAATTTACAGCCAGTGTTTGGGCTGAAATCTCCACCTCCTGGTTTTAACAAGCTCTTCCCTTGTTCCCTCCCATTCATTCATCTATTTCTGTTCTTTTCTGCTTTGTAAGTGCCATTATCACAGAATCTGAGCTGGGATGTCTCACTTTCTATTAGACATTCATTACTCAAAACAACTTCTTTCTTAAAAAATGACAATTCAAATAGCTTTTCAGTGTCATTATTAACTATAACAATGTTATTTTATTTTTTTCTACACGCACTTGCAATTAGTAAACTATCCTCCATATTGTTACTGTTGCATATTTAGCTATTTCATCAGTATATTGGTGTGAGGCCATCCTTCAGCACCCACAGACTCCACCTCTTGTTCACTTGCACTATGGATTTTTGGCCAAATGATAAATTAGACTCAAGTATCCGCTGAGGTGTGACCAGGTGCCAAAAGACCATAGCTTTTGTCCTTTAATGGGCTTAATTATGCGTAAGACCTTTAGGAGAGCCACTGTTGGTACGTGCTAACACGCTGTGGAAACTTGTATGGAATAGAACATTGCATCAAAGTAAATGAAAAAAAAAAAAAAAAAATGTTGACAAATTCTCAAAAAGACAAGCAAAGACAACATTGGAATAGGCTATTGAATGCGGAAAGATCAAAATTACTATTCAGTGTTTGTGTTTTTCACTGTGTGTGATTGAAGAAAGACGCGTATGCCATCCATCACATCACCCCTCCCATCGCGTTCAAACATAGAAACGGGTAAAGCTTAATTTCAAGCCCATTCTCTCCCGTGGCACGGCGTAAGAACCAAACTCACTTTGTGAAACTGTAATTGTTTTGAATCTTGGAGCTTTTTTATGCACCTGGAAGCAAGAGAGATGAAGCATTTAGACCTTAACCGTGGCGCGTAAAAGTTGTGGATGCTGACTTTTGTGCGTGAACATTTAAAGGGCTCTCCTTCCTCCAAAAGTTACAGCGCGATAAGGGAGTTCATCTCACAGCCAAGATACCCCCCTCAAGCAGGCTGGACGACCACCCTCTCCGGAGATCCCCGCGAGTCCGCAGAGCGCAGATGATCGCGACAGGGGTCTGTGGCGTGGCGCTGGTGCTGGTCCTGGTGGTTCTCATCCCGGTCATGGTGAACACGGCCGGACCCCCCGCGCGCTATGAGATGCTGGGCTCGTGTCAAATGGTCTGTGACTCCCACGGCACCGCAGCCACGGCAACGGCTAAAGCCACAAGTCCTATCAAAGACAACCGCCTGGTCCAGTCGCTACCCACGTTTATCCAAGGTCCGCAGGGAGAGCCGGGCCGCGTGGGAAGGGTGGGTCCCAGAGGTCCGGTGGGTGAGCCGGGTCCACCCGGACCCGCTGGACCACCTGGAGAGAGAGGCGCACCAGGACCACCGGGACCGCCTGGAGCTCCAGGGGCAAACGGACCGACCGGTGCCATAAGCGCAGCTACGTACAACACCGTCCCAAAGATCGCTTTCTACGCCGGACTTAAAAAACAGCATGAGGGATACGAGGTGCTCAAGTTTGACGACGTCGTCACAAACTTGGGAAACCATTACGACCCTGCAACTGGTAAATTCACCTGCTCCATACCCGGGATTTACTTCTTTGTTTACCACGTGCTGATGAGAGGGGGCGATGGAACCAGCATGTGGGCTGACCTCTGCAAAAACAACCAGGTAATGAATCATTAAACAATGATATAAGATGTCTGATTAAATTTTTTCCACAAAAAGTATTTTGTACAATCTGATATTTTTTGTCATGTTTGTCATGTCAGTATTTTGCAGGGAACATCCAATATGCCTTTTCCGTCTCTTCCTCTTTACACTTATAATGCATTGTGCCCTCTTTATGCCTACGATTGAGTAGCAGTGACAGAGCAGTAGAAACAATCGCCTCACACATTGTTAAAACTTCACCCCACGGAGCTGTCCAAGGTCCTGATTAAGTTGCGCTCAAAGCAACAATGAAACTGACTGCGTGTCTTACTATCTGCAGGTGCGAGCAAGCGCCATCGCCCAAGATGCGGACCAAAACTACGACTATGCCAGTAACAGTGTGGTCTTACACCTAGAGCCTGGAGATGAGATTTACATCAAACTAGACGGAGGCAAAGCGCACGGAGGCAACAACAACAAGTACAGCACTTTTTCAGGCTTCATGCTGTACGCGGACTGAAATGGGCGGGACGTTTGCTTTCAATACCCACTTCATTTGGATTATAATGTAGGTGGGGTCAAATAATTTAAGAAGAAAAAAAAAAAAAAAAAAAAGCCCAGAAAGATAAGGTGAAATGCTGCAAAAAGAACTGTACTAAGAGACTTTATACATTTTAATTTGCAAAATGTGGCTTATACTCAAGGACTGGAATCAATATCTAAACTATTGTCACTACATGAAGTAATGCTGCTGTGCAAACATACACAATATATGTGAGTGCACTGACCTGCACTCAGTTATAGAGCTGAAAGTATATTCACATTTCTCGTCAGTCCATTTGCAATGTGGTTGTCCATAAATGTGCTTTCCTTCATCAAAATAGTCAGTTGTTGTTGCATTAAGAGTGAATGTTGTCAGGTCTATCAGTGCATGATTGTAGACAATATTAAACAAATCAGAGAAATCAGATCACATGTAAAAGGTCATTCTGATGTTACTGAAGCACTGTGACCAGGGCTGCACAATATTAACACAATGTGGGATAGATATGTTGATATGAGGATTAAGTTACCATCAAATTTATAATGTATATTTATCAAGCTTTGGTGCACATTTTAAACTATCAACAAACTTTTGATTTTAGAGATGACTGAAATATGAACTGCTAATAAAACTACAAATATAGGAATCACATGCATTTCAGGGCATGTTTGTAGCAGTTTAAACATCAGGTAAGCAGGTTTGATACATATGAAAACAGGACATTGTGTTGTTTGCAGTAAGCAACATATTATCAAAATAATTGCCAACTTCAATTTGCCAATGAATAAATAATGAATAAATTGCATCTCAAATGGCCAATGTTCACTATAAACATACTTTGGTTTTGATCATCACACTTGTGGCTCCTTATAAGTCAGATGGGGGACGGCACTACTGAGAGATTTTTATTTTTGTAGCATTACTCCATTGGCCAAACTGGTATTCTAATATATTGTGCAGCCCTTACTGTGACTAACAATCTTTGTAACTTGTTGTCACTTGTTGTACAACAGTTGGTCTGCTAAGCACTCTGCTGGTTAGTCACCACTCCAATATGGCCGCCCAAAATCACCACTGTACACCAGGCGATCTTCAAAATGTCAAATATATGTAAATCAAAATCTCTTGTCTGTCTTTCTCTACGAAAATGAATCAAAGTTAAATATTGTGCAGTCTGGCATGGTGATGGAGCCATAGATCATGCAGAGATGTCATCCTGTGAGGCCACCTGTTCCCCAGATGAGAGGAGAGCTTGTCCTTCATTTGGACCACTCGGGCTCCCGTAGACACCCCAGACTCCCACTGAGGGGCAACGGGACAACTCATCTAACACCATCTCCGCTGCGCCACGTTAAGAGCAGAATACTGATCACGTTCTGGCTCATTATTCCACTTCAGTGTTTACACAGGTGACATGCAAAAGTTTGAAAGAAAACAGAAGATACAGCATTAAAGGGGAGAAATAAATTAACTGTATTTGGACACGTAGGGCCAAAATGTGACTTGATAGAGATTGAAAGAACTTGTGAACGTAAAAAAATTAAGTTAACTTGCAAAGGGCAAATAAAAAAAAGTATATATGCACACACACTATGGATGTGTAAATCAAACTTATCTAACTTAATAACTCAGTTTGTATGTATTATAATGTGAGGGTCAAGATTGTGCATCCTGTCCTATCCTTGGGGAAGACACTCAACTGACATTGCATGCTTCAGTCACAACATCCGTATATGGCTGGTTGTGACAGAAAGGGCATCTGACACACAGGAACCACTCAAAATGTCATTAATCAACTGTATTTTTATTTAAAGACCAAGTTAAAATTAAAAAAAATTATAAAATTGGGTGTTATTACAATTCATGTATTGAGACAGCATATCAAAATTAGAAGCCCAATTAATGGACATACAGAACAGAGTAGGTGGTAATGGACACAATTATCTTGAGGCACTGACACTCTTTGAATCACAAAAGAATATTGTGAAATTTTCATTTGAATAGAAAAAAAAATACATTTCAGTCATTTGGTACTAAAATTACAGTGGTAATTTTCTCTTAGTTATTCATCTGAAAGTAAAGGTCTAGTTTACATTAGATAAAAGTTTGCTCATTTAAAGGTGAGCCAGCACTTTGGGTTATCGATGAGGATCTTGTCCACTTGGTGCTGACTGATGCCTCTTGTTAACATCTTTGGTACAATATTTTTCAGGATGTGGGAGTAACCGTGACCTCCGAACTTTGTGAGTCGGTTTTTGGTGTGAATGTCATGAGCCACCAGGATCTTGTCTTCATAGCCCTCCTTCACTAGAAACGCCAGGCTAAACAAAGAATACAACATATATAACAATATAACTAGGGGTGTCAAATTATCGCGTTAATTGCGATTAATTAATTACAGTCATATTTAGCGCGTTATGTTTTTTAATCGCGTTAATCTCATTTTTAATCTCTAACTTTAGTGTTTCTGTATGCGAGTTGCTTTATTATAAAACCTGTTTTTATGTGTTGTTGGGACAACAACAACACACACAAAAAACACATTTATAATTTTTTTTTATTTTGGTAATTCCACTCATTGCCGGAAACCCACACAAAACGCACGCAGTAAGAGCGATGTAAACGTCATGTTAACGTTGGCGGCGTCAGGCACAATGGACGAGGTCGTAGAGCCAGTAGAACAGAGGCAGCAGTGCACAGGTAAAAACGCATTCGTGTCTTGGAAATTATTCTCCCGACGTGAAATATAAAAGAAACTAACAAATATAATATCGCCTACAACTTAAATGTCGCTGGTGAAAACAACCTGCATAGGCTCATGATGTCTGCACTACTGTCCTATAGTGACCTGCCACATGAGGGGACACGCACACAAACACACACAAACACACACCTTCATCATCGTCATCAACCTGAGAACGTGCGGACAACGTTTCCTTCCGTAGTTACTGCGCGGACATCGACGTGCTCCCGTGAGCCGCGTGTGGACCGTGTTTTCTCGCTGCGTAAACTGCGCTTTTTTAGGGGATTTTTTAAGCTTTTGGTCAGTTTTCTTATTTTAGACAATATACTAGTACGTGACAATATACGTGATATTCTAATTAAGCATATTTATTGACCACCTCTAGTTTCAATACTCACGTCTTCACTCTCTGGCTGTCACTGGGCATGTCGATGTCCGTGTTGTAAGGATAGTTCAACATCTCTGTACCAAACAGGTCATACTCCAGGTAACTCCCCATCTTAGCAAACTCCAGCAGTTCTCCCTCATCAAATATAGTCCTACACAAAAGTAAATAAAAGAAAACATTGTAAAGCATTATTGAGTTGTGCTGTATACACTTTTTTTACTTACTGGACCTCTAAAGACTTTTGAAGATATGAACAGTTGGTTAATCATTTAAGTTTAGGAATGATGCAATGTCCCAATTACACTTTTTACTGTTAATTAAAAGCTAGAATTATGCTGGTAAACCCCTGAAAACCACCTAAAGAACAAGAGTTATCCTACAGAGCTGTACAATATACCGACACATATATATAACCCAAACTAAATTGGACCGTTTTCCAAATTGTGCAACCCCCGTTCAAAGTTTGATTCTCTGAGCGTGTATAGAATAGACAGACAGTTTGATACAGTGACTGTCCTATCAACGAGTGAGTGAGAAATACATGGGTCAACTGTGCAGTAATAAACCCATCCATCAAACATGAGTCCATCCATCTTCACCACTTAGCCTTGTGGGGGTCACTGGGGTCCGGGCACTGTCCCAGCTGACTGTAGCAGGACCAGACCAGAGTCCACTTTATAACAGAGCTGACACAAAACACAGACAACTGCTCAGGATCAGGGACAAGTCCACTCAGGGTAATTTAACCATTAACCTTGTGATTTGGACCTTGTATTGTGAGTGAAGCCAGCCTGGACATTCATTCTAAGACATTTTTGAGATTTCAATAAACAGCTTGCCATGGTGGCTTGAGAAGATCATAAATATAAGGCGTCACATTTTATGCTCAAAGTTCACCTCAGTTAAGGGAGAAAAAGTATCAGTGTATATTTTTATGTCACTAATACACAGTCGTTTGAAAAATTGTTGATACACACAACTTTTTCTTTTGCAAAACAGTCAAGATGTCCTGAATGACTAAGTTTCCCTCTAGTGCCAAAACTCAGTGGGGCGTTTCTGGGTTAAAGGTGCACTGTTACTGCTTAGGAATGCTCCACAGACAATATTCCAAAAACAATGTCCAGATGAATCTAAAACCCCTCTCCATTGAACCACTCCTGGACAAATGAGAGATTACACTGTCTAGTATTCCATTAAGTTGTCTGTCTTCATGGAGACAAGATGCAGGTAACACCTCCAGATCTGTGGAGTGAATCAATTATATTTTTTCCTAAAATTAAAAACATCTAGAATTACCTAAAGCAAGATATGCCATACTTTACATGAAAGTCACAAAATAAACAATACTATAGATATATTTACAAATTAATTATGTTACAACAAGGGCTCGTTCAATAATCATCATGAGCAAACATCAATCGTAGGGTGTATCTGGGTGTATCTTGAGTGTGTACTTAATTATCCACCAATTTGAGCTTGCGTGGGTTTCATCTTCATGTTATAAGCACTATTTTGAGGACCTTTGATCAATTCAAAACATAAAATATTCACCCTTCTTTGATCAACACCTTTGTGATGATCTGTAATCAGATTTATAATACTGACCTATTGCTTTTTACCTGTCCAGATGTGACATGACAGTTTTGCCGATATCCCCTCCGGCCTCTTGCAGGATGCGAACCACCTCAGCAGGGGCGGCGGGGTTTCGTCCGGGGTGTATGATGACAGGGCAGCCCAGTCGGGTCTGTGCATGGGCGGTCGCTCTTAGGACCCTCTTCTCGCTGTCCGTGATGGGCCAGCCGGTGCCTATTTCCCCAATCACACCACAACGAATCTCTGTACCAT